ACAAGAACCAAAAGATGGGGAGAGAAGAAGAAAAATGAAACAAAGAAGCTGTTTGTCTCAAAACCATAGCATAAATAACGACTATCATTGGAAGAAAAATCAATTTCCTTGACACAATACTAAGTCATTGCATTTTCCTCTTAGCCTTTTGTCTGATTAAACTTGTTGGTTTAGTTGTAAGATTTATCTTTCCCTTCCACATTTTAATTAGAGAAATGTTTAAACATTTAGAAGGAAAATAACGAAATTTCTAATTCACCGTACAGGATACATACCTTTTTTAGCCATGCGCGGACTGACATGATCAGAATAAGAGATAGAAAGAATGCAGGCAAAGCAGCTAGAATCGCAAAGTTGATTTCATTTGCCCGAAGAATCTGATCAAGTTCAAGCATTGCCCTATTTAAACGAGCATTTTAAGTAAGTAAGAATATTGAGACAAACTAAAATGTCCATGAAATTGAACCATCTATGCTAAGATACCAGGCTGTTTACTTACGTCTCAATGTCCAGTTTTAGCTTCTGAACCTGCAAAATGACACAAAGAACCAAATATCATGTGACTGCAATTATAGGCAGCAAGTGTGTAACAGACCAGAAAATATTACCTGGATGAGCATCGCATGAGCAAGCTCTCCACCAAGGAGATTCTGAATAGGATGTGTAAGTTCCTTCTCATACCTGCACTAGCAATTCCCTAAAACTTATGTTCCTTTGAATCTCAGAAATTCAGCTGAAAAATTCACGTACTAATATTTCACCTTACAGCAGTGCTCAAAATATCAAGCAAAAAGAGAAACAATTAATTCTGGAGTATTTTAATAGTATTTAAATGAAAAACTGCTAAACATTTTACAAGCTGAATAAAGGTTCAAGGAGTATTTAAAGAATCATCAGTTCAAGAAGTAGATCCCACCTGTCCATAACTATCTCAAGCATTTCCTGATCAGATGCATTTGCTGGAAATTTTTGACGTTTTGTCTGCTCGCTGAAGGCTAACAACATTCTATGTAGCACAGAAATAATAACGTTAAGTAAAAGCAACTAAAATGACTACAACTTTCTAGACAATCAAAAAGAATTACAAATAATCTCCAAAGAAAAGAAAGGGAAAAAGAAAATTCAGAGATGGAAAGAAAATCTAAATTGTTAATGTTAAACTGCCATGTAACTCTGACAAGCGCTTTAGCAGGGCTTCAACACAAACCACTTAAAAAATAAATAACTAAGAAAGCATATAGAAGCAAGAAAAGAGGACCAATTGAGAAAATAAAATACTATTATATATTCACAGGTAAAATGGGAAATAAAATATGAAAACCATATACATGTATAATCTATCACCACAACTGAATAGGCAACAAAAGAGGATTGCATGGGAATGGGATAGAAGAGGCAGAAGACTGAAAAAAAAACCTGTGTAGAGAATTTGAGGTTAGCTGCACTTCTTCCATTTCCATCACACCTTTGTGCCTCTTTCTGAAGGTGTCAAAAAGCTCATCTCTAATTGACAGAAACTGACCAGAATTTGAATTTGACATCAATTAAATAATTTGAGTTTTCAAAGCTCTTGTAAATATGATTATCAGAGGTAAGCACCAGAGACACTTGGAGAAGTCATAAACAAAATTTGGCAAAAATAATAATAATAATTGGTCAAACTAATAATCACTTGAAATACTACCATCCATGTTCAAAACGACTCAATATAATTAGCAATAGCACTGATGCAGTACTTTCCATGGATGATAAAATAAAAAAAAATAAATAAAAAAAAACCAAAATCATGCCTTGCTTTTGTTGTTGTTAATAAGTATACACATGGACTGAATCTGTGTCACTTTCAACTATATAATTCCATTTGTTATGTATTTATTTTATTTAATCAAATAGCCAGGAAAACAATAGTGAGTCAACAGTTCCTTTTATCTAAAGCATAATAGCACTGACAAAACTTCAAATATACAACTTAATCCTGACTTAAAGAAATAGGCAAAAATAAATACCGGCTGCTCAACGTGATCGTTATAGAAGCTATATGTGGCTTCCCTTGCTTCACGAATCCAATTGTCAATGTCAGAGCTTCCCATCAGACTACTATGCCGTAGAAGCCAAATAGAACAAACTGAGAGACCAACTGCACCACAGGTATAGTGGAACCAGTACAGAGTTACTTTTCTTGGTTTCTGGTGTTTGGCAACCTAGGAGAAAGAAAAGCACATAAGCAACTAAAATTCAAAGATTTGATGATTATCATACTGACTGGAACACCATCTGAGTAATATATTCATCTAAATCTACTGCAATAGCATTAAGATAACGAGATGGATAAACTTCATTACCAACTGAGATATGTACGAGTCCAGGTCATGTAGATTCTTATAAACTAGGTTGATGGCATCAGTAATTTCACAATCTGTCCACTGAGATTTTTCTCGATTGATATCTGGCAACTTCTCAAACTGTAGAGGGAACAAATAGCTTCCTTCAACTGAAGAATCACTCTGCATGGTTATTGAATGTCAAAATTGGATTTTTGAGCTAAAAGTGTATGTAGCAAGATAAATGCAGCAGAAATTCTAGATCAACCCTATGAAAGCAAAGATGGTAATGTAATTATGGAAATATACACATCACCATAATTACCTGACGCATGGAACGTAGTTGACCAATGGCTGTCTCGAACTTTAAGAATAAACCATTAATAGTAACTAATAGGGTTGACAGTGACTTCTCCGGATCCTTGACTAAATCCTCCCCATGGCTGTCGACTTCTGTATATAGCTGGGCAAACCAACAATACAAATGAGTCACAATTCCTAATTAAGAAGCATTCTGAACTACATTGCTACAAAACTTTTTGATAGATTATTAAAACTAATGCAAGTACACTCAACTTATGAAATTCAGCTCAAGAGTGAGGCACAGAATATCTAATCCACTGGCATTATAAACAGATGACAGATCCAATGAAATAGCGGGTCGGACAAGAAGTAACAAAGTGCTGACAAATTTAAACGATTAAGGAAACTACATGGAAGAAGCAATGAATAAGATGGATCAAAACCTCCGCCAAAAAACTAGCAAGAGAACTCCTTAAGGCAGATAGAACAGCTATTCTCTGAGATATGTAAACAGAAGCAGACTGAGTAAGATGCTGCATTGTGGAGCCTTCAGAAATGCATTCACGTAAGAACTGAACTGTTTCATCAATAAAAGCTCTCGGCCCTCTCTCAAAAATCATGAAGTACACTTTCCGAGCATCGGATCCCTGAGAATTTGAAAATATTGAGAATACGAATACAAAGTGTTTGATGAAAAGCATTTGATGCAACAGCAAGAAGACATGACAAAACCTCAGCTCTAGATCGCCAAAACTGCAAATTCTCCTGAATTTCATGCAAATTCGAAATCGTTTGCCCCATTATATCATTCAAAACATCGTAAACTCTCGACGACTTCATCACCGCCCTGCATCCAGAAAGCAAATACATATCAACCGAGAGAACGTCGTTGACATTTGAAGTTTGAGCCACTGAATAAAGTAAGCGAACAGATCATACGGAGAGAAGTCGAGCGAGTCGGAAGGCAAAGGGAGAGGGAGGCCGCCACTCCGTTTGCGAGAGGCGGAGCGAGAAGTTTTCCGGGCCAGATTTGAGAATTTGTCGATGACATTTGACGGAGAAGAGAGAAAGATAGTAGTGAATCGATCGCGAAGGTAGTTGGAGTAGAATGAAATTAGGGCTTTAACGCCGCCTGCCGTCGATTCATGTGATTCTGCCGAAACGTCCACCGCTTGAATTCGATCATCTCCCATCGCAAGACTTCGCAGCTTTCCACTGACAATGACGAGAGAAAGAAATCGGAAAACTGAAAACGTTTTTGCCGCTCTGATCTCGTAGAGTCTCCTCTCCTATTACCGCCTCAGAAGGACCTCTTTGAAAAAAAAGAAAAAAAGTGTGTTGACACGGCACATTAGGGCAAAGTGGAGAAAACGTAGGTTGGTTGACTGCGGAGCCCAAAGGAAGACTACTATATAAAGTACATATATTCTTTTGGTTCGAAAGCGTCGATTTTTCCCCGCCTTGTTCCTCCGGCGAGAGAATTACTGCCGACGGCTGTGGTTGTTTGTTCCGTTTTCTGGGATTTTCTTCTGTTTTCTGTTCGTTGTTCGACAGCATGAAGAAGAAACTTGACACTCGTTTCCCTGCGGCAAGTTTCTCTTTTAATAATCATACTCTTTCTGGGTTGCTTTGGTTATCTTGTTCATTAGCTGATTGTGCCTTTTTATTGGTATTTTTTTGTTGTGTTGGAAAAACGTCTCCTTTTTCTTGTTTTATTTTAGTATCAAATTGTCGCCTCGCCTGAATTAGATACCCTGGCGAGAATTTCACTTTTTCATTGCTGGGTGACTGGAGGGAGCATACTCTTTCTTGGGCCTTTAGAATGTTCTTTTGTAGTTAGAAAGCTGTAAACTTTATCTTTGGGGTGAGTTAATTTTAGCGTCCCTTTTTGATTTTATGGTTCATGTATATGATTATTTTCACGCTTTGAAAATGCAAATCTGTTTATGTATCTCTCTGCCTGCCAAAGATATGCTTCTGTAAGTGATTTATATTGGTTGTGGATCCTCTATACTTAAGATTTTATGTGATTGTGCCATTTGTTGGATGTGTGAAATTTTGTCTGATTGATGTCTTAATCATTGCACAGGCTAGGATAAAGAAGATTATGCAAGCTGATGAAGATGTTGGAAAGATTGCTATGGCTGTGCCTCTACTTGTCTGTAAGTAGTGTTGACTATTTGTTAAAATGTAGTGTTTTTGGAAAGATCTTGTTCTCTTACCCTTTATGTTAATATCTGCAGCTAAAGCTTTGGAGCTCTTTCTGCAAAATCTCTGTGATCAAACGTATGATATAACTTCAAAGAAAGGTGTGAATATATCCTACTTCCATTCACTACCCATCACTTGAAAACCATGCCCATCACCCACCAAATGCCCGGGCTATATACTTCACAATTGCAATAAAATCTGTAATTCAGATCATATGAAGGATTGAGTTTTATTGTTCAGATCTTATTAGAGTTACTGGGGAATGTTGCTTAAAAGATCTCTTGGGAGGTAACCTGCTGCTCTGACCATTTCTCTAATGGTAACTCAACTGATGGAGTGCTGTGGATGCTGTGATGGTGGATGGAGTCAACTGCAAGGAGACTGCATTCTCCCATGTAGTCTTCTCTCGTTTCTGTACTTTATTATTTGTTGTGGTATGTGGTGTGTTTT